ATGATTCAGTTGAGCACCAGTAGCAATCGCAGTGCGTTTTTTCTCTTTCGAAGTCTCTGAATGTGTTCAGCATTCGGAAGTCTTTCAGAAAAGGGTTAGCGAATCCAAAGGATGAGCGTTACTTGTTTTAGTAAGTTTAAATGAAAAAATAAAATGATCATTACTTCAAAAGAGTAAAAATCAAACAGACCGTTTCGGATTTTTTCATCATTGAGAATTGAATTTAGATGAGAGAAAATATTTTCACAAAAACTACACTTTCATTCGTTGTAATATATAGTCGTCGTAGCGAATCATATTCGAAGATTAATGGGAAATAAGCTATATAATCTTTTAATAATTGAAAACGTCATTTATTTCGGTATTCCTATCGAGCAACAGTGACGTAGAATGATAACACAAATATAAATGAAGAGTCAAGTTTCTCTTTCTCTGTCTTTTCTATCCTTTCTGCATTAATCATCAGAGAAAACAGATGCTTTATTTTCATGATGTCATTAAAATAAAAACACAGATTAATCCTCGGTAAAAGAAAACAACCCAGATGAAATAGATCAGTGTGAAGCTAGCACGAACAAACGATGTGTTAGCTAAAAACTTTTTTGCTAGGTACGTCCCGTCCATGAAAACTACACCATTAGACTCAAAATTTAATTCTGCATCGAATGGTGGCACTTTTATTCACCGGACAAACTTTGGAAAAATTCTATCTGAATTATAAATAGACCTAAAGAAAACGAACAAAGATATAGATAGAAAAATTTCCAAAGTTTGTCCGGTGAATAAAAGTGCCACCATTCGATGCAGAATTAAATTCTGAGTCTAATTGTGTAGTTTTCATGGACGGGACATACCTAGTAAAAAAGTTTTTAGCTAACACATCGTTTGTTCGTGCTAGCTCCTTCGTGCTAGCTTCACACTGATATGAAATAGTATAGCATCGGAAATGAGTTTAAAGAGTGAAAAACAATGAGAAATAGTCACTTCGAAGCTATCATTCTTCGGATACCTTCAATTGATAGAGACGTCTTATACGGCGGACTGTACAAATATATGATGACCAAATGCAATATCCAGGTGATCAGTTGAATCCTATAGTTCATCTGATTTTCATATGATGGTAAATTAATTTGGCATTGATCGCATAAGAATTTTGATAACTGAATAGTTTGAATACGACTGGTTTACGAACGATAGATGATGAAGTCGCCATGTAACCACAAGTAATCCTTCAGAAGAACTAGACCAGCATGACGAAATATATATGCTTCATATACGTGTATGCAATAATTTCGTGATTTTATATCGATGAAAGAAAAAAGTCGGACTCTTGTATGATTATTTTGAAAAATTTCAAAGTTCATTAGGTTTGTTTTATTCTACCTTTGATAGAATGTTCTTGTTTATTTAGAAATAAGTAATATGATAAAATATCAACGTCACAGATGCACACCATTCCATTCAACTTTTATGGCGGATTGATTGAGTAAACTTGCCTTACCAATTGATTTCTTTAGTCTCTGCAGATAATCCATATCATAAATTATCATGCAAATCAGTGGTAAATATCGATTATCAGTATGATGTTTCCTTCTCTATTATCAAACTTTTATAAACAATTCAAGAAGCTTTCCATTAAATATGATATGCATACGGTAGACACAGTCATTCCAACATTCAATTTAGTACTTTCGCTTGTATTTTTTTCTAAAGACGACATATCACTAATGGTTTATTATTTTTAATTTATTTTCGAATTCTATATAATATTCATTTAAAGTACAAGACGGTACGTAGACAACAAATAGCACAATTAAAAAGTCATGTAAAATTTCATCTTCTCACACTTTGATTGATTAAAAGTGTTAAGCTGGTTTAGTAGAATGAAGTTTTGGTACTACAATTTGAATGCCACCAGTCGTTGAAACAGGCATAATTCTATTATAACCAAGCGTTCCTATGAAAAATTGTCGAAGTGTTTTTCGAACTTCACTTGATATATATAAATAAATATAAAAAGTTACGACAAAATTCACATGAGAAAAGCTTGTCAGCGCAGCCTCTTTGGGCCTAAAATGTGGAACTCACATACTTGCATTTGGAAAACGAGATTGTGGATTAGAGTAAAATACTTGAGGAGTAACCTCACTTTATAATCATCACTCTCAGGCTGGTAGCATTTCTAGTAGTCACAAAAGGAAAGCAGTTGATTCAATTGAACAATCAAATACACAATTGACTGTCCTCAGTTTAATATAGAGATATTCGGTGAGAATTATTTAGAATTTCAGAAAATACGAGATTTTTTAAAGTAAAGTGCACGTTAGGCCATTTTCGCATAATTTAAATAATACCGAGTAAGGTCCAAACAGCACAGCAAAAAATAAAGAATCTGCATTTGAAATACAAATATTTTTACTTGAATGGTGAATAATAGAAATTTGAATACGCTGATAAGATTTTTTATGTTCCATAACTCTAATACTGTCTACATTTCTAATACTTCTATAGGTCATACGGCTACAATGATCGTTGCAGTGCCTGCACTCTGTGGCCGCGTAGCGGCTTGCGGCCCATGGGGAGTCCAAAGATCCTCGATACAGAACTTACACTCGCTATTTTTCTTCGAAAAATAATGTGAGTGTAACGATAATGATATCGTTCATCTCTTTCTGTTCTTTATTCTCTCACCCCTGTATCATGCTATCTCCGGGTCATATCTCTCTTTCCTCTTCTCTATATAAGCGCGTGTCTTATTGTGAAAGAGATACATTCTGGTCATGTAGAGTAGTCAATAAACATCGATACCGTGAGAAGCGGTCAGCTACTCAACCAGTTTGTCATTACAGTGAGTTCCACAAAAAAATCGAAGAGATGCTAAAAAAAGAGCTTGCAAAGCTCTCATAAGACTACTTTTTGGTAATGTAGCTGCTGCTTCAAGATAAGCTGAATCTAATGCAAAAGGAAATCCAGAAACAGCAAGAACAACTAATTGAGCAATTAACATTCGACGAATGTGTTTTTCAAATCGATCTTGTTGATTATTATGCATTAGACCACGAAGATTTCGTACAATACCTCGAAGACTAAATATAATCAAAAATATTGGGACAACAAAGAAAAATAATGGTACTGTGATATAATTAAGCATTATTCTTACATTATAATTTGTGATAGCACAACCATTATTTGTATTACCAACAATTAGAACTGGTAGATATAAGATTGACCAGAAAAGAATTGATCCACAAATAGCAAATCGAACTACTTTCATATTATGCCAACGATTTCGAAAGAGTGCATTACGATTTGTACTTGCATATTGATCAAAAGCAGCTAAACATGGAAAATAAATAGCTGAAACTTTTGTAACATATAGAAAATAATTAAATAATCGACAGATAATATCATATTTGTTACAGGCATGTTCATCACATACCTTCACATCATTCGCCATCTGTTTTCTCTTATCGTTCTTCTACATTCTTCTTTGTTCTGTTTTCGAATAAACAGATTGAGTTTCGTCTCTCGAGCGAAGACAACGCTAATATTGGTGCCGTGACCGGCTTTATTTGTTTCTTTCTCCTCTCTTTCTCTATTCGTCCGTTCAATTCGTTGAATATTCAATTCTCTTTATACTCACGTCTACCAATCACTCGTTACTCTTTATTTATCTGCACTTGTTTATTTACTTTACTTGTTCCACACAACCACCACGGCTCAATTTCCATCAAGGCGTCATTTACGTAGCAATCCTACATCGGCAACTCTAATACCGCACGACATTATCACTTACGGTCCTTCTCGTCATCGTCGAAAAATGCCTGATAATAACAATGACAGTCATTCGGTTACATCGTCGTCTGTTGCGTCCACCACCACTACAGCGACCGATCCATTTCTCGCTTCTTTACAAACTACGGCTTTGAAAGAATTACAAAAATTTACTGGTGATCCATCACAGAAAGTCACTCACTTCATCAATGCTATCGAACAATTACGCTCTTTCAGCCCATTGAGTGATGCCATGCTTCATTCAATCGCTACTCTCAAACTAGGTGGTCCAGCTTTCAACTGGTATGACAATAATCGTGACTCATTAGATTCGTGGTCTCTATTAAAAACTAATCTATTAGCACGTTTTAAACCGTCATTGTCTGCTGCAAAAACACAATTGAAAGATCGTCGTCAACAACCGGGTGAATCATTATTAGCATACTACGACGATGTCATTGATTTATGCAAACAGGTCGATTCTGACATGCCGCTTCATATGATTGTCGATTATTTACAAGATGGTGAGCGCGATGCACTCAAAATTCACATAAAACGTCGAATGAAAACACTTCCTGATACTCCATCACCAGCTCAATTTTTAACAATCGCACGCGACGAAGAAGAATTACAACAAGAACTTTTACCTTCCGAAGCATCTACTATTACTGCTGCTCAACCTTACTTTCCTCATTTTACAGCAGCTACTAACACTTCTACTCTCCGACCGAACTATTCTC